TGAAAGTGGAAGTGAGTCTGAGTTCTTTTAAACTTATCAAATACTGGAAAATCAGCTGGTTTGTTTGCCTTTTGGATTAGGAAAGTCTGTTAACATAATCTCTTAACATTGCACAATAGCCAAACAATTTAGCACTTCTTGAATATTTGTCAATCATGTGGAGCTTAAAAGCAAACAAAAAGGATTTGGGAGTTGTTTCTAAGCTTAGGGGCCAGATTTCCAGTCATTCTTGTATCACTTTGTTTCTAATCTGAGGGGCAGGTTCTCCAGTCTTCTTTGTAGCCTGCTTTCTTACAGACAAGTGAATCAGAGCCTTTTCTCGAAACCCCTGAATGGAAATAACATCTGAGAGGCCTAAGAAAGTCACTGCCAGCTCTAAACCTCTGAGATGTCTGTGAGCCTTTGGAATCTCCCACCAGGCTGGCAATGATGGGAGATATCTAATTAAACATCATGTTGATCTACCCACTGACCAGCACTTAAAAAGTTCCATCTGGCCAAACACTGATCAGACAATAGGCCTGATTCTTAGTTTTCCAGCTACAAGTGTTAGGCCATCTCAACAAGCCCACATGATACAAATGTGCCCTCAAAAGTACATTGAGGAAACACTGTACCACTGCCATAATTTTATAAGTTAACGTAGCCTCAGAATTGTGTCCATGGATATGAGGCCAGCAAAAGCAAAAGAATTATACTGAAAGTGTTTTTGTGTTTCTATATCCCATGAGAGTGGTGAGACCCACAACTTCAACACTTTCTTTGTGGGGTGCTTTTATTCTGAATGTTAACATGCAGAGCCAATGCCCTCATCATTGGGAGACTGTGATAGCTGACACTCTTCAAATCAACTCCCTGCTCATTAAAATTCAGAAGAGGATTCTCTCACTTTGTGAACAAGGTATAGCAACAGTTAAAACAATCACAGTAGACTGATCACTTTTATTTACAGATTCCACTTAATCTGTGCTTCTGCTTTGTTGGAGAAGGCATTTAATCCTCAGAGATTTGCAAAGGACGTCATAGTAGTGTGACACAGATATATAGAGAGAGATGAGTTTCCGAACAGGTGGGACTGCGGGCATGATCCTTGGAAGAATAGAAAGGAATTTATTTTGAGTTGCCCATTCTGTGGTTGTAGAAGCCATTCTAAAACTGTAGGAGAAAAACTTTTAAACTGTTAAAAAGAGGGAGATTAGAAAGGAACCATGGTTGGAGCATGGTGCAAGGCAAGAAGGCCTCTAAACGGGAGGGGAAACTTCCACTCGCATATGCATTCTGCATGGAGGGAAATTTTCTCTGCCACTCTCCTATGGTCCTTCTCTACTCATCCAGCAGCCGCACACCCTTTCCACATTGAGAACTGGCCAGTGTCCACACTTGGAACAAATATCAGAGTCCACACAGATGTCCTTGTCAGTAGACATCATGAAAACCAGGGAGCACAGAACAAGTGTGAATCTCCACTGTGTCCTATAGGTGTGTTCACCTTTTCCTCACATGTACAACATGGTGACCTCAGCTTAGGACAAAGAGAATCCTTGATTGCTTGTGTGTATGATACAAAAGGTCTACCCAAAAAGACCTGCCATATCACTGTGCAATAAAAAATTCCAATGATATAATTTAACATGTCTAAAGGAATCTATATTTATAATTTCAAATATAAGAACCAAGTAAAGATCTATTTACTCTTTAGTTACTAATTTAGTTACTCTTTAGTTGTAATATAAACATTAACTGAAACACTTCATAATCAAAACACTATTTTTATGCTTAAACTTCACTTCGTTAATTTTATTTTCACCCTCCTCCCAATAAATGCACAATAGTATAGCTCAATGTCATGTTGCTTCACAGTCCAAAGTTGACCCAGCAGAAAATTCCTCGATGAGTAAGACCTGGGTACAGAGGTGAAATTCATTTGAATTTTAAAGTATGGTGCATTCTGAAGGTGGCTCGGTGCTCTTGATTTTCTCAATCTCTTGATGAAGTTTCCTGCTCTCATTCTGAAATCCTTCCTTGAGCAGCCGTTCCTGTTCCTAAAATGGAGATGGAGACTGAACTCACACAGTTTCCCGTGTTCCTCAGAGGGTCTCTCACAAGCCCTCCTTTGAAAGTTATACTAAACCCTGGAGGAATTTTGAAAATTTTTCTCAAAATCTTTTCCTTCCTTAACCATCCATAATTTCTCTATCCTGCTCCCTACTTATAGCAATAGATTTCCTATGCTTTGTGCAGCTGTAGAAACTCAGTCTAATGGTTCCTAAAACACCAGCAGCTCACAACTCTCAGGTCCCATTCTGGGAGCCTTTGACTCACATAAAACATAATTTTCTATAAAACCAACACCAGCTTCCCTCTTCTTTCTTTCCTCATCTCTTATCTGTGTAGTGTGGACTCACAGACACATCTAAGAAGGGGATAAAGATGGGCAAAAAAAAAAGTGGAGGCTTACCATCTCATTCAGGGTTAGGGCAAGCATTCAATCAAGGAATTTAGTATATGTCCAAACTTTTAGTGTCCAAGACAGGAGAGGAAATGCTTTGAAGCCACTATGGTCTTCAGTGCTCACACAGCTTTTTATTAACAGCCATGGAGCCTAGGTACAGATGTGAAGGGATGCCCAGAAAACAGGACATTCCTGGCCCTGTGAGCATTGAACCATTTCTTTGGTGGTCTGGGACTGTCTCTACTCTTTAGGATACTTAGAGGGATAAGGTCCTGCTAGGTGTGGCAGGAATGGGCTCCATTCAGTAGAAAAGAAAGGAGTTGGATACTATATCATATAGTTTGATGAAAAAATCATTTTACATATGGAAAGTCCAACTTCTCCATCTAGCACATGAGAAAAAAATAATCCTTGATAGATAAGTTGAATATTCAGTCACAGAAATCCCATAAAACACATAAAGAGGATCTTCGATTCAAAACTACTCTTTAATAGTGATACCCTGATAAAGGATTTCATCCAGCAATAGCAGCCTTAAAGGGCCAGAGGTAGCCCGAGAAAGGGGATGAGAATATAACAGAGAATATGAATGATTCACTCCACTTTGGGGTATTTGAGGTTATTACCCTTGTATTGGCAGGGGGCAGGGGCAGTACAGACTCTCCATTCACAATCCAGCCAAGCCTTGGCCTTGTGAACCTAATGCCTCAGGCTCCTGATATACATTGTTGATTGGACTGCAGAAACTGAAATTTTAAATGATGTAGCCAGGTACATTAAGTTTAAGGGATATGGTGTTTTGTTGCTCTGCCATTAACTCTTCCCGCTCCTGCTGCATCTTCCCAGTCAGCTGTTTCATATGCTCCTGGTAACTCTTTTCCTTCGCTTCCATCATATAAGCTTATGCTTCTTTTGTATTTGTTTCAATTCTCTGTTTGCAGATTCATCCCTTATACGTTCCCCTGAGAAAATAAAAAGCAAATAAGACAAAAAGTGAAATTTATTAGCTGCTTTTGTCTTTTACCACTTGAGAGGGAAAAATCCTATCATTGAAGAAAATTTCCTGTAGAATATTTGCCCAGTTAACAAGGATGGAGATGGCCACATCTATCAGACTAAAAGCAGCCACCATGAAGCAAAGAGAGACACTTGTCATTCTTCTCTGCAATGATGACCTCAAATGGCCCAATACTGCATCAAATACCAATAATTTCTCTCACCTTCAACCTGCTTTTCCTTTTCTGTGAGTGACTAATCCACCTTTGGAAGAGTGTTCACCACTTCCTCCTTACTCTCAAAGTACATTATCAGCCTCTCTTCAGCCTAGATGTCAAAAGATATTAGAGGGAGAAAATAAGAATGTGAGTTGGAGATAAACCATAGCATAGTCTCTTAATTCAGTTTAATGCTATCGACTATGAAGAAATACTTTGTGATTCAAACAGTATTTCAAGTTGAAGTTTTCAAAATCAACCCAAGTTCCCCCCTCCCGCCCCGCACTTAATCATTTCCAGTTGTTCAAACTT